CAAGGATGACATTCTCGTCTGCAGCTTCTTCAGCTCTGAGGTAGGGGTGGTTTCATCTTTAAGGACCAGGGTTATTGCAAAGGTCCTCATCATGGCGGCCATGTTCGCAGTCAGCGTTTTTCTTCGGGAAGCCTGGTCAATCCCCATGATCGCCTTGGTTTTAGCCTCGACCACCGTCGGGGAGTGGTCCCTAGAGAAAACGTTCTGCTGGGTGTGGCAAGGAGGTAGCACAAAATTCTCAGTGGGCGTGCTCTCCTCGAGGTCGACTAGCACAAGTCCCTCGGTGCGCTGCCTTTTCGACGAAGTATCCTACGTGGAAGAAGATTGGCTGCATTTAGGAGAGGAAGAACCACCAGCTCCCTGGTCGGGTCCCACCAACTGCTGGACTTGGGAGACTCTACTATTGCCTTTTTTCCCGCCCTTTGTCTCCGCGAGCTTCAGTATGCGTTCCTACGCGTTCGACATCTGGCCTGCAACAATGAACAAGGAAAACCAAGTTAGTAACAAGAGATAAAGGACGGGCACCCCGCCAAAGAACAAATTTGTTACCTAAAAACCTCAAGACCTCGCGAGATCCGTACTCGACGAAAGCCTTGGTGTTAATCCATCGAGCCTCGTAACAAACCTCCCCACGCTCGTTGAGGATGAAACTCCCATCCTTCTGGACACACTTGGCAGGAGTGAAGCCGGAGACAAAATCGACTATCTTTTGGTAAGCTAACCGGTCATCAGCATCCAGGTCAACATGCTTCACGATGTAATTGTTTGTGCCCTGGTTGAAATGGTCCTCGACCCACTCAAGCGGAAATTTTGACACCAAGGTTTCCTCATGCTCCCCGTGCTCCTCTGTGACCATAACGTCGTACAGAGAGTCAACGATCGCGTGCAACACGAGCTTCAAAATGTAAAACCTATCCTTGAAGGTGCAGACAGAATCTTGGTATGCCCGAAACAGCTTCCTCGGCTGCTTCAAGGATACCTAACTGTGCCTACCTTCGAAGGATTAGCGCTGAAGATGGAAGGTGCGAAAGAACAGGGGAAGTGTAGCCCCAATACGAAGATACTCACAGACGAGCTCAAATTCCCGCACGAACGTTATGACATTTGGGTGTAGTTGCGAAGGTGCCAGATGGAACCACCGGAACATCCCCCTTGAAAATCGTTGAAGGGGAGGTGGATCCCTGCTTCACAAAATGAAAATTCATACATAGAGAACCTCATCTCCCTGAAACTCGAGCGGATGTGGTGTTTTTCCTTGGGTTTATCGACCATCCAGCTCGTGGAGGAACCTTCCAGACATTCCTCGACAGTGGCAAAAGTGTTTGTGTCATCAAAGGCGAAGCGCGACGCTATAGTAAGAGGTATCGGACTCGTCGTCAATGTGGATGACGCCCTCACTCCTTACAGCCATTTTACCTGAAAAGCAGAGGAAAATGGTGAATTCGATTTCAAAGATCAAATCCACCCCTCCACAGCAAATCAAGTGAAAGGGTGAAGGGAGGGATGGGAAGCCTGGAACAATGGGCCCCATCCTCGACGGAGGCTCTTCCAAGAAGAAACCCCGACGATGACTTCACACGGCGAGCCTCCCCGACAGCGATGCTCCTCAATTGGGAGGACCCCGACACGCGTGGGGAGACCCTGAGTGAAACCTCCCCGACAGCAATGCTCCCCAATTGGGAGGACCCCGACACGCGCGGGGAGACCCTGAGTGAAACCTCCCCGCGAGGGCCGCACACTTACGAGGAGCAAGGCTCCCTGAGGCGTTCACCCTAGCTCCCTGAGGCCTTCATCACATGTCCTTTGGGAATTCATCGGTAACTTCATGAAGATCCAGGAATCTGCATGAACTTCCCGACGTCCTTGCCAAAAACTTCATACCTTGGGCAAAAACTTCATAAGACGGGTCGGGAAATTCATAGATTTCCCAGAAACTTCATGAGAGTTGCCGAAAAACTCATAACGCTACAGAAAGGAGACGAAAACTTACTTGTAAAAGGAGGATCTGGATGACAGAGAGTGGTGACGGCAGCGATGACAAGAGGAATTTGGAGAGGATTCCAGTAGATGTGAAGGGGAAATGTGCAAATGAGAGGAACTTTTCCCATATTTATAAGCCTGACACGGGAGGCGAGACGGTACTAGGCACTCAAGTGTCCCCACGCGTAGCCGTCCTAGGCATTAATTACGTGTGACACTAGGGGACACCACGCGCGTCCCCTCGGCTTCCCCTCGTGCCCGAAGATCAAGCACGTTCGTCCATTTTCCATCTCCCCATGGCCTACTGTCTTGTCGGGCATCTATCACTCATGATCGTGCACACAATCCGACTCTGTATGTCAGACGAGTTGCTCATCCTCCAAACTGGTCATCGACACTCTAACTAGCTCTTAAGTCATTACTCATCCACTTAGGAGCAACGACTTGGGGGCTCCTATTTTGGACTGGGCTGAGACTTGCCCCTCATTCGGGCAGGCCCAACCTATTACTACGTTAGGGAGGCCCAACAAGGCTCAATTCCCCCATGTCGGGCACGTGTAATACTGTTGTCAGGCAGACCACTACCTAACACATAGAGCTCTCACACGTCTCCATGTGTTCCCCGTGCGGGGACACGTCTCCACGTGTTCCCCGCGCGGGGACACCGTCATCAGACAACTACCGACTTCCGAAAGAAATAGTCAGCCCACCTTCCGAAGATCACGGGGTAGTTGATCCAGGGCGAATACCACGTGCTGGTATTCCTTAGGTCACCTAAGCCCTGACAGTTACTCATACTGGACCTTGCAATCCAGCCCAGTGCAAAGTAACTGTTGGCCCTGCGCTAGAGGCACATTATAAATACCTTTTTTCACTATAGGGTCAGATATTCCATTCTACACACCTAATCTCTCTGTACTTGCTTTTCTAAAACTCTGTTACTCACTTAGGCATCAGAGTACCTTGCAGATACTACCACTCTTCCTCATCAACACTGGTGAACACATGAACTCACGACGCGTGGCAGACTGCTGATTTCTTTCTGATCAGGTAAGATCATACATTTATTATGAAAATAATAAATGATTGATTTAGTAATAAATAAATAAATGATTATGTAACTAAAACCAACGTATTAAATGATTCGTTTAATAACAAATAAATAAAGGGTAATGCTAACTTGTGCTTTTAGGACACAAGTTAAAAAAACACATTTATAAAAAATTTATATTAAAAATATTAATAAAAAATTAATTTTTTTTATATTTTTATTAAAAACATTGTACAATTTTTAAATTATTATTTTTAATTTTAATTCTTAACTTGTGTTTTATAGTACAAATTAGCATTATTCATAAAAGAATTTAAAATTTTAAATATCTATAATAAATAGTTAAATATTGATACTTTTAATATAAATTGATTTAAAATATTATTTTAAATAAAAATATATAAAAAATAATATAGCATTGAATGTAAATATTTTATTGAATGAGAATTACGATATTCAATTAAATCTAAAAATACCAAATGTCGAAGTCGTATAAGGAGAGGTTAGGTTGTGAAACTAAAACTCAAAGGAGAAGAAAGTGAAAAATGGAGTTGGAATCAGTGAAGAAATTTTTAGAGAAAGGAGGAGAAACTGCGTCCATGGTGAATGGATTTCCTCCTAAATTCATGGGAACCTTAATCATGAGTTCCCTTCGCGTCGATCTCATCGAGCCTGGCCGCGTCATCTGCTCTATGATCATACCTCCCCGTTTGCTCGTACTCTCCTTTCTTCCACCACTCATCTTTTTTCTCACGATTTTTCAATTCAATTACCTTTCATTTTCATTGTAGAATTCCGGAAATTCCTTGCACGGCGGCGCCACCGCTACACTGGTTGACGTTGTTGGCTCCGCGGCGATTCCAGCCTCTGGACATGTAGGTCTCACGGGAGTTTCCGTTGAGATCAACGTTACCAACTTGGACGCTGCCTATGTTGATGTATGTATCTCTCTTTTTCTTCTTTTTCGATTGGTATTATCGATTTTTGTGATTTTTTTTTGTTGAATGCGAGATCTGAATTCAATGCGTTTGGAGTTTTAGGAGGAGATTGAGATTGAAGCTAAGGCGTTGCGTGTAGGGAAAAGTGTTGCTGTTATCAGTGTGGAGTTCAGGAAGAAGAAAACCGGCAAGGTTTTTGCTCAGGGACGCCATACCAAATATCTTCCTGTTGCAAGTAAATTGTGAAACACACCAATTGTAACCAAATATGTACTCTCAATTAAAGTGTAAACCTTTCAAGAGTGGTGAAGGAACTCTCACAAATATATACATATGTGTATGCCACTTTCATTTAGGTTTCTGAATTGTCCTTCATTTGTTCCATGTGCAATTGTATATGTTATTCGAATTTGAATCCCGCAGTCCGAGTTTTCACGTATCATGCTGTTAAGATGATATTAACAGTTTGATCTTTATAGTACAAGTCACACAAAACCATTTTAATTTTCTCAAAATCATCTGTTTTAAATCAGAATCATCCGATCAGATGTAGTTGAATGCAGGCTATTTTTATTGCAGCAAATCTAAATCTTTGTAGTTCGGGAAGCACAACTGTTTAACCTTGCTAGGGCTATAAAACTCTTCTGGGGGAGTTTGCTAGTCATTTGAATCTAATAAAATTTGAGGGATTTGTATTTGCAATTGGGATGAGATAATATGTGGTTTTAAGAAAACAGGAGCCGGTTTCCTCTTCAAAGTTTTGTTTAGAGTTTTTTTTTTTTTTCACATCTCTTCAAAGTTGATCGTTACACAACATTTCTTAGACCTTGCTCTAATGGATTTGTTTAAATATTTCTTTAACTTAAATGCATTTTTTATCACCAAGTATCACAATGGAGTGATTTTGGTTTCTAATTTTTTGTCAGTTTACAAAGACAAATTTTAATGTTACAGATAATGTTGAAAGTTATCATAGTTTATAACTCAGTCCAAATTTTTTATCACTAAATAGTTATTTGAGGTACAATAATTTAACTGGACCCATTGCCTATGATTCCGAGAGCATTTCTGAAATTGAGTCTACTTGTCATGGTTCGTCTTCCCATCCCGCCATTGCCCTTTCTCATCATGGCAGCAAATTCTCCATAATCTATTTGTCCATCCTGCAGTACAAAATGTTACTGTTGGAGTATAATCTTGAAAGACAGTTTGCAGAAACATGTGACCTATACAAGCAAGCTCTTAATAGCAAGACAGAGAAGAAGAAAACTTACATTATCTTGATCAATTTCCTTGACCATTTCATCAATATGGATATCATCCAAACCAAACTCCTTACAAGCTACTTGAATCTCGTCAATGGTTATGTAACCACTTCCATCTTTGTCAAAGTAGGAGAATGCTGACAAGAGATTTTCCTCTCTTTCCAGCTTGTTTAAGTGGACAGTAGCAGCAATGAATTCACCATAGTCGAGCGTGCCGTTATTATCAATATCTGCCTGTAACGTGCAAAATTATAAGTCTGGTCTGATTGTTAAGTTTAGAATTAGGGAAAAGCATCACAAATCATGAACTGGAAATCTAAGACGGTAACTGATGATGTATCTTACTGCATCCATAAGATCCTTGATTTCAGATTCCATAAGTTCAGATCCTACTCGCTTTAAGCCTTCTTTTAGCTCATCCAATGTTATGGTTCCACTACTGTCAGCATCAAGCATCCTGAATAACTCTTTCAAGCCACCAATTTCTTCCTCGGAGAGCCTCTCCGCAATAACCTAGGAGCACAAGCAATAAACGATAAGGCTAAGCTTAAAAACTTGAAAACGGAAAAAGGAAAAAGGTTCACGGATTCCTTACACGTAAAGCCATCTTTTTAAGTTTATTCATTGCAGAGAACTGCTTCAAGCGAGTTAAAACAGCAGAATCAAGAGGTTTGTCTGGTGCAATGTTATCATCGACAATCCATGGATGACCTGCCACAGAAAACCACTTAAATTCCATAGCTCTGAGTTTCAACTCCATGCCAATCATTGCTCAAGTATACTTGCTCTATGTGAAATTTTAGACTTACATAGCACTTGGTGAGCTGTAAACCTATTTTTCGGATTCCTATCAAGCATTTTTCGAATTAGATCCTTGGCACTGTCGGAAATCCCAGGCCATGGCTCAGACTGGAAATCAAGTCTTCCCTGCAAAATCTGTCTGAAAATCCCTTGTTCTGTCTCTGAAGGTGGTAAAATTTGACAAATAGTATTAGCAATGAGGAACGATGAAGATTAAGAAAACCGAAACATACCTACAACCTGCAACCGCATATGATAGTTTAATGTATAAATGAAAATATATACATACCAGCCCAAAATGGCGGCACCCCGCTTAATAAGATGTACAAAATAACCCCGGCACTCCACACATCAGCCTCAGGTCCATAATGCTTGTGCAAAACCTCTGGTGCAACATAGTATGGGCTTCCAACAACATCACTAAAGATTTCACCTGAAAAACACATCAGTTTGTTAAGCATACACATCACTTTGACATTAGTATTTCCCAAGATCCCATTGCTCTCTTAAATCCATTTATTTCCTGAAACATGTTATAATCAAGCACAACCATTCCCACTAAAAATCGCACCAGATTGAAATCAGAACAATGACCCAGATGCAAAAACATGATCAAATCCCTCATCGTTTCATCAATCAAACCGAATCAGATCGAAATAGAAAGCAAAAGCGGAAAAAAAACCTGGCTTGTAAAAAGCAGACAACCCAAAATCAGTAGTTTTGAGAACAGCATCTTCATCAACAGTATCAAACAAAAAATTCTCAGGCTTAAGGTCTCTATGCATAACACCAAGAGAATGACAATTCTCCACAACCTCAACAATAGTTCTAATCAACATGGCAGCTTCTCTCTCACTATAATGCCCTTTCTTCACAATCCTATCAAACAATTCACCACCTTCACAAAGCTCCATAACCAAATGAACAGAAAACGAATCCTCATAAGTCCCATGGATCCTCACAACATTAGGATGCTCAGATAAATGGTGCATTATCTGAATCTCTCTCCACACATCATCGTAATCCTCTTTGCATAAAAGTTTCTTCTTTGGAATTGATTTGCAAGCGTAGGTTCGACCGGTTGGGTTGTGTGTGCAGAGATAGGTGGTGCCAAATTGACCTTGACCCAGTTTTCTACCTAAGGTGTAGAGGTCACGGAGATTCTCTGTTACGTAAGGGAGAACCCATGTGGGTTTTGGTGGTGGTGGGTTGTTGGAATTCGACATTGTTGAGGTTGTACTGTGTTGGGTTTGGAACAACGAAAAAGAAAGAAAGGAGACAAGAGACAAGAGTCAGAGTCAGTGTTTGTGACTTCACATTCTTCTACTATATGCTTCGCACACAAGTAATAATAATAATAATAATAATAATAATAATAATAATAATAATAATAATAATAATAATAATAATAATAATAATAATATGATGATGATGATGAAAATTGCAAAAGTTAAATCAAACTCCGTGGTTTTCGTGTTGCTGTTTTTTTACTTGCGATGCGACTTTTTATTAAAGAAATGGAAACGGGAGTGGAGGTCATTATTAGAATGTTACAAAATCATTAAAAAATGTTGCTACTTTATTTTACACAAAAAGTTGTTGTTACTTTAGCAATATATTTTTATTTAAATTACTTAGTAATATAAACTAGCTTTATATATATATATATATATATATATATATATATATATATATATATATATATATATAAAATGATTCCCGAGATGAAATTCAAAATGATAAATTTAAAAAATTGTATTGAGAAAGACATAAAACACTTTTTTTTCACTAACTCCACAACAAAATAGAATAATGAAAAGGAAAAATAGATATTTTAAAAAGGTAGGACAATGTTCAACAAAACCAACATTCTAAACTATTTATGTGTTAATGCAATAACTGTTATGCTATGATCAAAGTATTAATAAAGCATATTTTAAAACTTATGTCTAATGAAATACATAAAGGAATGATGTCAAATATTTCTTACCATCAATGGCTACGGTGACAAATGTTTTATCTTTAATAACGAAAAAGATAATATTGATAAATTTGTTGTTAAAGCAAACGAGGGTCTTTTTCTTTGTCATTTCACTTCTATAAAGTTTTTCGTATTTATAATAAAAATGACTATTGATCTGACCTGATCAGAAGGGGATCACTGGCTGGTCACACTCTGTTGGACTACTGCTAACTCGCCGGTGATGAGGAAGAAAAGGGGGGTGTACCTGCAAAACGCTCTAATGCCAAAGTGAGAAGTTGGGCAGAGCGATGGCAAAGTACAGAAAGAGGGGTAAAAAGTGTGTTACCTGACCCTCTTGAGGAAGAGGGTATTTATAGGGAGACCCCAACGCTGGGCCAACGGTCAGTTAAGATGGGCTGGATGACCAGGCTCAACCCTAATGGCTGCTAGGGCTTACGTGGCGTAATGAAGACCAGGACGTGGTCTTCGCCCTAGTCCAACTGCTCCTTGATCTCCGGAAAGTGGGTTTGACATGCTCTTTCGGAGGTGGGCAGTTGGTTGATGACGTGTCCCCGCGGAGGGGAGCACGTGGAGAACGTGCGCCGGACACGTTGTCCTCCCCGCGGAAGGGAGCTCGCGAGGTTCCCCGGAGGGCGTTGTTCTCCCCGCGGAGGGGAACGCGAGGATGTGGAGGAACCAAAGGTCTCGCTTCGACGCACCGGGGTGTGTCCTGTTCGGCCGATAAGAGAGGACGTTGAGAAGTCGTCGGACGCGTCGCCTGTGGCTGGGGGCGTGCCCTGTCCGTCCGGTGGGACGCGCGTGCCCGGTGTGGCCAGTTCACTTATTGGGCCGTGCGTGGTATTGGGCTGGACCGAGGTTGGGCCCAGACCAGAACAGGAGCCCCCCAAGTCGAAGCTCTGGGAAAAAGCGAGGACTTAAGGTCGCTGTGTCGGGGAGAGAGGTAGCGAAACGGGAGGTTCGTCGGGGTTTTGAGCACGGTGGAACGGGCGCTTGCGCGGGGGTCTCCCGTCGCCGGCGGAGCGGGGTGAAAGCAGGTGAAGGGGCGCGACTGTCAGGTTGCCGCCACGTGTTGCGCGTTAAGCGGCCGTAGGGGCGGCTACCCTATGCTATTAATGAGCCTAGCGTCGCTTCGAATCCCGCACCGGGTTATAAATATGGGGGTCCCCGCTCATTTTTCTACTTTTCATTTTGCTGTTTTACCTGCGAAGCTCTGAGATCCCTGCCCGTCCGCCGTTGTCGTCGATCGCCGCCGCACCGTTTGGTTCTTCCTCCCGTTCGCCGCCGCTACAAGTGAGTTTTTCTTTCTCTTCTCCTTTTATTTCTGCCGTTTGATTAGAATGTGTGGTCGGGGCACGATGAATGCCCCGAGGAGGGACGCAAGATCCGCCGTATTTGGCGATTTTCTGATGAATGCCCCGGGGAGAGTCGGTCGTTCCGATGAATGTCCCGAGGACGGGGGCTTTCTCCGATGAATGCCCCGGGGACGCGCGCTTTTTCCGATGAACATCCCGAGGAGGGATGGTGGGTTGGCCCTTAGATGCCCCGAGGAGGATTGGCGGGGAGCGCCTGTTTGCTCGTCGTTCTCTGGCCTTTGTCGCCCTTTCACTTGACCTGCGGTGGAAGGGTGAATTTGATCTTGGCTATCGAATTCACCGTTGTCCTCTGCTTTTCAGGTGTAGATGTCGGCCTTGGTACCGGGGACGATGGTCGAAGATAACGAACCCGAGGTTCCGGATTTTGACGAGCGTGTCGTCCCGGTCGAGGAATGGGTGGCCGAAGAGCCGCTGTCTACCCCGTCCTGCTTCGTGGCCGATGCGTCCGACGTCTATGCCACTGTCGAGGACACGCCTGTAGGGGAGCCGCAACATTGGCAGGTGTATCGCCCGAAGGAGCACCATCGCATTTGCTCGCGATATGGGCGGCGGATGTTCCCTATGCACGAGTTCTATTTCAAAGAGGCTCGGCTCAGGTTGCCGTTCTCCGTCTTCCATCTGGGGCTTTTTGATTGGTTACGCTTGGCCCCGTCCCAACTGCACCCCAACGCCCTGGCCTTTATCCGTGCCTTCGAGGTGGTGTGCTTCTATCTCGAGGTGGAGCCCACGGTGCCGTTGTTTTTTCGCATCTTCCACTTACATCGCCAGTCGGTGAACGACCGTCAGGGATGGGTCTCGTTTAAGCAGTCGACCAAGCTCTTTAAGACGTACAGCGATTCCGTTAAAGATTTCAAAGGTCGGTTCTTCCTCGTGAAATCGATCACTCAGCAAGGCTCGGATACTCTTTTCGCCGAGGGCGAGCGAATGGTAGACGGCCAGCGGTTCCTCGCGTGGCTTCCCAAGATACATCTGTTATGGACCGCGGAGCACTTCAACCGTGGCACGGATAAGTATATCGTACGAGCGGGGACCCTCGACGAAAAAGATATGGCCGCTTATATGAAAATAGTTTCCTTTGTGCGGGCTCTTCCCCCGTCGAAACTGGTGACGCCCGATGTTCGGTACATCTTCGACGCGCAGGGGAACATGCGAACCAAGAAGCGGCTGATTAACATTAAGACCCTGCTCGGTTGCGCCACTGGGGCGGCCACTCTGGATTATCTAGGTAGGGATGTTTCTTTTTTCCCCGTGATCGGGTGTTCTGGCCGTTGCTAACTCTTTCTTTGTTTTTGCAGCGAACATGTCTTCTGTCGAGGAGCGAGTGAAGCAGTTGCGCACTTCCAGGAATGTCGTGGTCCCGAAGACGCGGGTGAGTCAATTAGTCGGACAGGAGGTTGTGACGCCGGGAGGGCAGAGTTCGTCTTCTTCGCCTCATGGGAGTCAGTTTCCTACGTCTCAGGGAGCAACGAAAAGGCCGAGATCCGAGGATCCCAACGGTTTGATTGATCTGACGGCCGGCTCGGCCGAGGAGGGTTACGTCGTCCCGCCTTGCCATCAGCATCTGGGCTATTTTCATGGTGCCCGATCTCCTACCGTCTCTGCTGGGGAGGTGAAGGCTGTCCGCGAGGCCGATCGAGAGTCTCGTCAACATGTCCTAGTGGAGGATTTGGCTGCGATGATGCGGACGTTCACGACGGCCCTTGTGCTGAACGAGGAGGGCTGCTCCGCCGCCGAGTTGTCCAAATTGCAGGGGGACCTTACCTTTATGCAGTCGCGTCTGGCCAAGCTTACTAAGGAACTGGAGAAGAGTCAGAAAGATGTTGCTGACCAGCGCAAACGAGCGGGGGGCGCTGAGGGGAAGGTGACCTCGCTGGAGGAGAAGCTGAGGGCGGCAACGGTCGAGGTGCAGGCGCTGAAAGTTCGTATGGAAGTCCTGGACAGCGCGCTTCGTCCGGCCGAGGACGAGGAAGACCAGCGGTTGATCACCCGTGCTGATCTGGTTGCCCGTATTCGGGTGCTGGAAGGTGATTGTTTGGAGGCTGTCGAGGTCGGGTTCAAGAACGTTGTCGCGCAGATCCAAGTTGTCAACCCCGGTGTCGCGCTGGTTGTGGATGGGATCGGGCCGTATCACGAGATCGTCGGCGGGAAGGTGGTCGACCCCGATCTTGTCGTTCCCGAGGAGGTCCCCGTGGTTGCTGATCAGGAGGGTGAAGTAGTCTAGGTTGTCGGGCCTGCGTGCTCGTTGTTTTTATGGCCTGCGTGCCGATATTTTGTAACTCGCTTTCCTTTAGGCCTGTGCGCCCCGTTTGTGTAATATTAACTACTGGGCTGGTGCCCGCTTTTGCTTAATATATATTTTTGTGAATTTTCTAAGTGTGCGCTCGGTATTTGCATGATGTTTATGCTCGTTTTTTCGTATTTACTTGTTTACTTGAATGATGTTTGATGTGCATGCCTCGATATGCTCTGGGCCTGTCCGGGTGTTAGCTCGATAAACTTGTTACCGGTGGTGAAGGGAACCGGCCGGTTTGGTCGGCGGCGTGGCCGGGCCGTTTCGGGGGTAGTTCTCCCCGAGGCGTGGACGTCCCATCGCGAGCTGGGTGTCTTGCCGATTTTGGTACGGCGGCGGGGAATCTCGGTCGAGGTGTTCCCTGCCGAGCAAGGCCGTCTGCCCACGCACACAAGAGGCAGGGCTTGCTTTTCTCTGGTCGCTAGTGGACGCGTGGGAGTGCGGTGGTACCATGTCGCCCCCTAGTGGCCGGGACGGTGGGTCATCGCGGGCAATGTTCTAACTGTAGTACCGCTTAAGCTTCACGGCGTTCCATGGTCGAGCTAGTTGTTCACCATGCAGGTTTTCGAGGTAATAGGC